GAGAAATCATAGAAGAAGGAGGAGTCACAGTGAAGAAAATTCATACTACGGAGAATCCTGCTGATATGCTGACTAAGGTGGTGACTGCGATCAAGTTTCGACATTGTTTGGATTTGATCAACATTGTTAAACACTGAAGATTGAAGATGTAGACACAACCAAAATTTGTTGTTGAGAGAGAATTGAAGATGTGGAATTTTGCCAAGGTGGAGATTTGTTGAAGTTTGGCAAAATGCCAAAGTCCCACATCTGTTGGGAGTTGAGTTTGGAGGGGATTTTCCCCCTATAAAAGAAGGCCTAATGTTTAGGATTTAAACACACCTCTCATTTGCCTTCTCACCTATTTAAGGCATTTGTATCTTCTCTCTTTAGTATTATTTCACTTGTATTTTTGGAGTGAAATAAAATATTGGTTGTGTCCGAGGAGTAGGCAAAATTAGCCGAACCTTGTAAATTCTGGTGTTCCCTTTATTGTTGCTTTATTGTCTTATTTATTATTTGGTGGCTGTCATAATTTTTGGTATAGTAATTGTGACTTATTCACACTATATACATTTGGCTTCCGCAACGTTTCACCACCTATAGAAATTTTTCTTATACCAGAGCATATCAAAACTATTGCAGTTGCACTATCATTAACTTGAACTAGTCACTACACTATTAATATACTACTTCAAACGTTTTTTCGGGCAAACAAACAATTTTATCTGAGAAAGACGTTTCTAATCATATGTTGCCATTTGTGATGTTCTCATTTTTGGTTTTACAACAACTTAAAGAAGTTTGATAAATCATATTGATGCCGGAATATTATAAAGTAATGAAAAACAACCGAAAAAAGCAATTGGCCAATATTGCTAAGGTAACACGACCAAGACTTGAAATAGTAAAGTAAGAGTAAATGAGGATAGAACTAGACCAAACCAATCCAGTACCTTTCGACCATTGAAGACAACAGTTCGTGAACAAGTTTGGCTTCAACCAAGTCAGCTTTTATAGGAAGGCAATTCAACCAAGCTGGAATAACCTATCAAATGAGTTGGAATAAGAATTATATATTGGAGGAGCATTATTTCATCTATACAGACCAGAATCATTATCTTTTACCAAAATTTAATGGTGAGCACATTCACAATGAAACAAAACCTTATCAAAAGGTATTAACAAACAACACACACAGTCGTACTAATCACACGAAGCAAATATTTGCAGTTAATTTCCTTAACATATTAAAGTGTCTAAAGTTCCTTTTCTACTGACTGAACCACCTTCAACTATAGTTTATAGTTGGAAGGACAAATCTTAGAAATCTGTATACGAATGTATCATCTGAGAAAGGAGAAAGAATCTCAGAATACATGTATGCAAAAAAATTACATGATATCTTCCTGTTCCGCATGTGATTGCTAGAAGAAGGAATTAGTTGGGGGTATCTAAGAGTTAGGAGAACAACACAAAAACAAGAGGATAAAAAATAAGAATGCGTAACCAAAAAAAGGACATATACCTGGGCTGAGTCGATACTTTCACCATGAAACTGATATATCTTACCAAGTGCAGAAACACTATCATATGCACTTTCATTTTTAGGTTCATGAGCATTGAGATGCGTAAGGACTACATAGGTCCTTGAAAGAGCCTCTGGTTCAGGTCAAAAGATTAAGTAAACACAACAAACATATCGCTTCTTATTCCCTTTTCCATGATGAAAAGGATCTCGATATCACATTCAACTGTGAGGTCCACACCTCATCAACCAAAAGAAGAAGATTGAAAAAATTGGACAAAATAGGCTGCTTGAATGCATATGGGCGGCTGAAGATTTCAATTTGCAATTTGCAATGCAATAAGTCAAATTTGTGTTGCTAAGTGGTTGGCAAATTTGCCTATAAATAAAGATGATTCACTCTCACTTAAGACACCAAAATAAGAGAGAAACAATAGAAGTTAGAGAGAGTAATCCACAGTTTGTTGTCTGTGAGAGAACTAATGAGTGGTAGTAATATTGTAGTGAGGTGTTTTATATAAAGAGTGTTATTTCTTTCAAAGTTGTAGTAGTCTCTTGACACTACTGAGTTGTAATATTATAGTGGTAATATTGCTACACTCGGATATTTATTTTATCCCAACAACGTGGTATCAGAGCCATGGTAAATAATGATCCGCTATCTTTTCAGTACCCCCGTCTGACAAAAGATAATTATGAGAAATGGTGTCTACGTATGAAAGTCATCCTTGACTCTCAGGATGTATGGGAAATCGTAGACAGAGGGTATGCAAAACTCGATAATGAGGAAGCTCTGCCCAAAAATAAAAAAGAGGTCTTGGCAAAGACAAGGAAGAAGGATCAACAAGCCCTCACGCTCATCC